GTGTACTTGTCCGGGGGTGATTTCCCGGTGTACTTGTCCGGGGGTGATTTCCCGGGGGTATTTGTCATTGTCTGGGGTATTTATCATATACCTCCAGGTCATGTCTGCACGCCGATGGGCCATGTAACATGCTTTTCTGGGACCTCAAATAGCTCTTGTGAATTGGATGAGACCACGAGGTACCCCGTATATTCGTGATGTACCGGGGATGTACCTGATTCGTCAAAAAGTAGTTCTCAGGGGGGAGATAGTGATCCGCTAGATGGCGCATTATTAGTGTGCTGTGGATATAGAAATCAGTTAAACCTAACCCTAACCCTAATCCTAACCCTAATTCTAAAATAAAACAAAATTAACCACAAATAATAAAAATAAATAAGGCAAAATTAGCCAATCAGAGCCGTCCCCTAGCGGATCACTACCTCTCTCCTGTGCAAAGTTTTTCATCAAAGGGTCTGCAAACTGTATGAGTGGCTTATATACGCACTCGATCGGTTCCTTTGTTCGTTTTTAGAGAACTGGGGATCAGCTGCAGCTAAAAGCGAAAGAGTTAAGAAAATAATCTACACGACAATTACTGACTATAGTTATAAGTATAAGCCCAGCTTTGCGTCAATCACACCAGACCACGGATGGGCGATAGCAGCTGCAGTATTAGCATTTCGTACAGCCAGCCGTACGATGCCTTTTCTCTGCGTTTTGTTGTGCATTCTTCCTAGTCGTGGAGGAATTGTTACTACAACAGATGGTCTGGCCAGTCACGCAATCCACGCCTAACTAAATAACAAACTCTCTCTACGAACGAGTATATATGTTTGACATGAAAATCCTCCTTGACGTCTTTACAAACACATGGGTTCCTTCAGAATTTCTCTACATAGGGGATGCATCTAAAAGGATGAACGCTAATGAGTCAGCCTTCTACTGGCAGTGAAGGGGTTGCTACAGGCATGAGGCCTACAAATAGTGCATGATCACACAGCGTAAAAAAATACAATTTTTAACATGTAATAACGATAATAACAAAGATAACCGCAATTGCTACAGCCATGACCACGTAACATTACCGAGGCCAGTTGGCGTGTCACGAAAACAAATCACGGGTCTTTGCCGATGAATTAATAAGCATGTCAATCTATGCTAAATTCATTTTTAATTAGAATCAATGTAGGCGTAGTCGCACCACGATTGCGTCTTTTTATTAATGTTATTCAATATATACGAAATTATGCTGACTAATTAATATATACGGATTTGGCAAAACATATGGCGAATGGAAAACATGATGAAATAATGACAATCACCAGCTAGACGTTCTAATATTTTATAAATCGTAATCACGGTTTTAATGTTTATAGAGCTCCACTATACGTAGGATATAAGCGCAGCAGTTTTTACAGGGCAGCTAGGCCTTTGTTTTCATTCTCAACCGCGTAGTGTACAGATTTGGCAAAAAACTGACGCGTCAAAAGAGATACGATTGTAACGTTTAATTTTTAAGATCAGAAAGAGAGAAATAACCAAATAAACAAAAAGTTGAATCACATATAGCTCTAAAATACCTATTTGAATTATTGCGCATATGCAGCGGTCATTCAATGTATGGAATCATAATTGCGTCGTCGCGTGTACATTTCTGATACTGGCATGACAAAAGGAAATCCATGCTTCGGACATAAATGCATGTGAAATAAGACGGATATAAAAAGCATCACATCGTTCAGATCGCATCTATATCAGTTGTTCTAAAAGATGGGATATAAATAAAAACCAATTTCAACACAAATGCGAACTTTCTATTATTCTACGCATGGTTCGTTTGAGATACTCAAAAACCGAAGCAAAAAAACGCAATATAGCGAGGTGTGCTGCGTGCTAGCGCACGCGTCTCGCTGTACCTTGCGCCTTGCATGCGTATACAGCAGGCGTTCGGTCATGTCGCGAACAACGCCAAATTTTCGCCATCGTGCGGTCGATCTGAATGCGTCAAAAGTTTCATAACATAACAAGTTGTAAAAATGTAAGAATATAATCGCATCGGAGCATTGCAATAGCGAATAGTTATTTATTTAGGCAGTACGCACGAACAGTATAGCGTTCTCTATAACGAGCATCGAGTGCTATATATATATATATATATTATATATATAGTGAATCCCTCACGCTAACTATACCTATATCGCTTCCCATGCAGACACTAACGCTTAGCTGCACATATATAACAACAGAGACGGCATTAACTTCCTTTACCCAGACTGCAAAAAAAAACGCACAGAAAATCGAACGATCTACAAAGGCGAGAATAAGCGACGATTCAGCGTCAGAAAATATAGTGCATAATTAGCAAAAATGTACTAGAAAGAAGCGACAAGTAAAAACGTGGACGATGTCATCGTCCACGTTGTTACCATGACAACGCGTCAGTTCGATATTAACCATATGTTAGTCATTCACGGAGAACACCCAAACACCTTCGATTATGCACTATTCTAAAGTGCAAATAATTTTAACCATTTTACATTTTACGACGTCGGCTAGATATTTCTCTCTATATATATATATTTTATTCATATAAATGTAGATCTGGTATTGTGATAGAAAACTTTTATTGTCGATAGCAATAACTAGCGACGTTATTAAATAAAACAGAACACTTTTTGAAACGAAAATAAAAACGAGATAAATAATTAGGAAGCTTATAGTGAAAATCCAGTTAATTAATTACGATAGCGGTAGAGAATTAACCGACACGCCAATTCCCTAAGCCTGTGTGCGTGCTTGTGCGTGAGTTCGTGTGTTTAATGTAACGTTTGACTTCACTATTATTGAGTTATACTTAATTAATCCTAAGGTAACTAAGGCTAGGTCTTGATTTCTTACATCGTTCACCTATGGGAGGTCATAGTGGCAATAATTACTTAGGCCTACTCCCGAGTTTACATATCCTATAACAAAACATTTAAATTGCCTGGTTGTTAGGTCAATGGTTATGGATATGGTTAAGGTAACTATTGGGTTCATGTTCACTGATTACCGCTTATAGTAAATCATAAATGGACTACATAAGGCTAGAATATGTGGAACAGCCCTTAGACTGTATATTTGTGACACCACTCACAGTCGGTCCTAGTAGGCTACTAGGACCGACTGTGAGTGGTGTCACAAATATAGTAGTAGGCATATTTATCATTATTTTCACATATAACATAATAATATATTAGCCGGTTCTTTGGGAAAAAGAATTTTGTGGTTAGCCTCGACATCCACCCTCCAACAACATTAAGTTCCTCAGTCCAAAACACTCAATGTTACGCTTGCAGCAATGCCAAAACATGTATATACAATATATATATATATATATATATATATATATATATATATATAACACGTACGTAATAATTATTTGTGATATTTGTTGTTGTTGTTGTTGATTTTTTAAATTTATCATCTTATGTATAGGATCGTTTGTGAACGAAATGCCTTTGCGAATGCATTACACTTATAATAACGGTGAGCAGGCTGAAAGCAGTGGTTCTGGTAAACAGTTAACCGCAGATTACGAGCGGCGAGTCGAAGCCTGTCGACTAGACTCTGTTGTCGGCACGTTACAGCAACGTTACCGGAGACGTGAAGAGTCGCTAACAGCTTCGCACAATGTGGCAGAAGTGTCAGAAACAGGAGATGCTGTTTAGCGGCAGGCAGGGCAGTTCTCGGCCGGGGGACGCTGGTAGCGTGCGCATCGCAAGAACGCGCGCGCATTTTCTCGGCAGCCCGCGCGAGTTTGCATACGCCGCCGAAACGTTGACGTCGACGGTGATACGGATGCAGTAAGTGAGATAGCAGATGACATAGCACTTATCTTCGTGCCGTCATTATAACGTAAGCTCGCTCGCGCCAAACCTTTGGTCACGAAGAATAATTTTGCGTGCACCGTGAATCTAGCGATGTGACGGAAAACTTGCGCGCAGGCGACATAAATGTGCGATCCGTGTCTGAAATAAGGGTCTAATTTTATCTAGAAAACTGATGTAAAATACGTTACATTCACAGACGCCGTGACATTAAAACGAGCTATGATGTTGACCGTATACACATCGCAGTAGTGATTTTTCAGCTTTGATTCTGTGCACGAGGTTTGTGTACGCGAGATGGATTGTCGAAAGGAAATCACTGCGCACAGAAACACGTAGAATAATGCGCCATTAGCAACGTGTTTGTATAATGTGCCTATTAACCATGCGAGTTTTTTTATGCAATTCGTGTACGTGGTTCTTATTTGACCATCGCGCCGAGCAATCTTCATTGTGGACGGAGCCATCTCGGACAATCCAATCCCGCGTTGAAACTACGAACCAAAAGATGCTAAAAACGTTAACCACGCTAGATGTAACTGTTTTGAAAAAGAACACACTCTGGATAACAAGGCACGCATTCTTACCTAACTTAATTGCGAAACTTCAGCGCAGCAGCTGGTCAGGTAATCAGGGAAGAACAATACGTTCCGCCTCAGATTAATGACGTTCGAGACAGCCAGGCTTGTCGACTCAGCACAGCTACAGCATGTGCGTACGCGGTGAGCCTCCACGCAAGCACGTGCACCATCATCAGCCCGAAGATGCAGACGATACTTCGTGTCCCGATATTTTTTATTATCGTTTCATCGTATTTTGCGAACGTAGTCCAAACAATTCGACTCAACCCAACAATTGCAACAGCGTTTGAAGATTTATCTCTGAAGAAACACGAGTGAGAAAGTAGCATTTCATTAGACACCGGCAACCCGTACAAGATAAGCAACTTTCTGCTCGGCCTCGCTCATTCCTACTTCTAATGATATTTTCCGATGCGTGAAATCAGGTATTGCGTTTCTCCCGATCCTCATCAAAATCTACAATGTTCCTCAGATTCATCACGTGACTGTTTTTTTACGAAGCTATCACGTGAATAAAAAAAAACGTGCCATGACCAGAAATTCACGAGCTGCTCCTTCATCCATCCTCATGACCTTTCCCAAGCTCGAAAGGCGAGCAAAGGCGCTCGGAGCATCTGCCCAATGCATTACAGCGAGGTTGTGCCAGGAATAACATTACCGGAACCCATCGTAATGGACTTTCCCGTGTTGTGAATGTGAGCATGCACCGTCGGAGCCTCGGGCCGGGTACAATTATAGCGGTACGATTAGGAGTAAGGTACACACTCTGCGTGTGAGCCGGACCAATAGATTCTCTCAAATAGAACGCCACCAGGAATGGTCGAGCACCTCATGTTTGCAGTACGATTAACGAGAAGGCGCTACTGACACTCGGACTGCATGCGTTTCTTCTCACCCCAGAGCCATATCAAGTCCGCTCTCCATTTGGCCGAACACACACCTGTCGCCGTACACCACTACATGATCCGCAATACGAGCCAGCATAAATGTATCATTCGTCCTTTATACCAAAATATTCTTTACCAGACGCCGCCAAAACCATCGGTATACTGCTACGTATTAATCAATCGAAGTCGGAAGACTCCACCCACACAAGTCCAATCAATCACTGCAAACCCATCCATGTACGAATACCTAGTTACTCATGTCCCAACTATGAGCCACGTCCCGCCCACCTGCTACAAATTGGGCGACAGGCACACGCGTCCTATCCGTATCAATACACCACCAACTAGTAAGTCATTGACAGCATACAATCAACCGATCATTCACCTCCGACCCACCAGTCCTCACCTCCCACCCACGTTCAACTCATTAATTCCCCACCCACCGACCCACGTTCGACTCGTCTGTCTTCACCCACCCACGTTCGACTCATCTGCCTTCACCCACCCACGTTCGACTCATCTGTCTTCACCCACCCACGTTCGACTCATCTGTCTTCACCCACCCACGTTTGACTCATCTGTCTTCACCCACCCACCAGTCCTCACCTCCCACCCACGTTCAATTCATTAATTCCCCACCCACCGACCCACGTTCGACTCATCAGTCTTCCCCCACCAACCAGTCCTCAACCCTCATAGTCTCTACGTATTCAGCGATTCCCAGATGAGAAACAGCCTTACCAGTAATCTCTTACAAAAATATGCTTTGGAAGAAGTGCACGGCATCAGAAATTAACAAGTGCCGCGGAGTGACAGCGCTCATCGAACGTCTACTGCGGTGACTCTGTGGTGGAGTGGTGGGATTCTAGTAAACCCTGTTAGTCCCAAATGTGTTCACATACGCGCCGAAACAGTGGAAGGCACAGCGATGGTATCAGGAACCTTCTCGAAGGAATGTTCGTTGGGATCGTTATTAAAGTTGCCACGAGATGGCGCGTACGTTTAAGTGTCTTAAGATTAAAGATGGAAGCTCCCATCGTACGTAGTAGCAACAACTATTTGCAAGACAGAATAGGTAAGCACTGATCCATTTACCTACGCAAGCCTACAGGCTGAAATAGAGAGCTGCCACTTGTAACTAATTAACGCAGGCAAAAACTACACAGTACTATCACCACCACATGCACTGGCAGTGGCCACTGGCAGTGTCATAAGACATGCGTCTAAACAGAGGAATTGCTCCGACCTGTGATTGGAGGATAAAAATAGACCCCGCCCACTTTTCCA